TCTATTTTATCAGTGAAGCAATTCATAAAGTCATTACTATTAAATTGTGAGGGAATATTTAGATCGGGTGGTGTCTGGTTATTTGTTAATCTAGCCACTGTGCTAAATAAAAAGCTTGGATTGTTTTGGTTATTTTCTATGAGTTTGTTGATATGCTCGGCCATGGCAGCTTTTAGAGCCTGTGTATAGCTGGGCATTCTGTTTTTCCACGCAATTCTAAAAATTTCCAAGTTAGTTTTTCTCCATTTGTGCTCAAGACTACGAGTTTTTTTCTTTAGAGAATGGGTATTACTGTTGTACCATGGCGCAGTACGTTTTTCTCTAACCTTTTTCAATGTGATGGGGTCAACAGCTTCTAATGTATTAGAGAAGATAGTGCCCATGTTGCTAGTCATTTCGTCTAGTTCATGTGTACTTATGGGTACACAGAGCAGTTGAGATAAATCAGGCAGGTTATTTGGTGCCTGGAACAATAGTTCTGCCTGGACGATAAAGCGGAGCCATATACACTGAACAAAATTATAAACGCAACACTTTTGTTTTTGCCCCCATTATTCATGAGCTGAACTCAAAGATCTAAGACTTTTTCTATGTACACAAAAGGCCTATTTCTCTCAAATATTGTTCACAAATCTGTCTAAATCTGTGTTAGTGAGCACTTCTCCTTTGCCAAGACAATCCATCCACCTCACAGGTGTGGCATACCAAGATGCTGATTAGACAGCATGATTATTACACAGGTGTGCCTTAGGCTGGCCACAAGAAAAGGCCACTCTAAAGATGGTGTATAAAATTGATTTTAAGATAAAAAATAGACGATAAAGAATTAACTTGACGGAGCTCAAACTCAAAACACACGGCAGCAACAAACAGCTATTCACAAAGCTGCTGAGACCAATAATCATGCCAATTAATTGGCTGATGGCATTTGTGCTGCCCACCTCAAAAGCACATGTACGCATCATCGCCGCTCAGATTTTAAAAACCACTGAGGAATATGGCAAACTACACATCATTTTTTTTCCTACTCCGGGAACAAGCAAGGTTACAAATGTAGCCCCCTTATCAATTTACCTTTGGTGCTTGGCCCCTAATAATCTTGAACTTGATGTCCTGCATTGCCGGAGGACCTTTTAACCCTCTGGGCCTCTTCGGTCATTTTTGACAGAGCAATTTTATATTTAGAAATTTAAAAAAAAATCATAGCTTCATTGGAATGTGATGACACATCGTGACTTTTGTCGCATTAGCTATGTGAACACACAAAAAATCATGGACATGATTTGGATATGTTAAAGGGTCAAAAAAAAAAAAGTCACACTTGGCTCCTTCGTGGTCAAAAATTACCAACACAGGAAATGAATGGGAAATACGAAAAAATATGAAAACTCAGAGAATCTTTTGGTGGTACAAACTACAAATCAGTCACTGTGCAGAAAAAAAGTGCACAGCAATCAAGGGGTGACACTCTAAAATATAAAGTGTGCAAAACAGACACCCACGCACGCAAACACACACACACACACAGACACACACACACACACACACACACACACAGAGAGAAATTAACAAGTAAGACTGCAACAGAGCAAATTTTGAGAATATGTGAAATAAAATGAATAAATGAAAAAAAAAAATACAAAAGAGTCTCTCTCTCTCTCTCTCACACACACACACAAACATACAAACACACACACAGCAAAATAAATGGTAAGACTGCCACATAGAAAAGTTTGAGAATATGTGAGATGGGGAGAGTCATATTTTTTGCCACCATGCCACTGAAAGATTTTGCCAGATTGTAAAGTCCGGTCCGTTTTGACGACAAAACAACAAGAGCTGGGGAAAGCACTGTGGACCCCTTCATGAAAAGAAGACAGAACATTCCTCACACACTAGCCTCTCTGAGCTTCCTAATAAAACTGCAGGATTCCATGGATGAGCAAGCTGGTGCCTGCAGAGCTGGTCCCTTCACGGCTGGTGCCTCTACAGCCGGTTCCTCTATGGCTGGAACATAAAACGCCCTGATGGACAAAAACTTGTTCTGTTCCCAGTGTAAGATGCTTTATCACCAACTCTTGCAATTGGGCCAGTATAAGCCAGTCATCCAGGTAATGGGAGCCTCAATGGGGCCAGAGACATGTCCATGCATTTATTTTCCTCCAAAAGCAAACAAAAAGCAAACAAGGAATTTCCTTTGTCTCTAAATGATCTAGAAAATAGAAAATATGCAAATAGATCTAGAAAAAATGCATCCTTCAGGTCAATCCTAACAAATCAATCCTGTGTTCGAACCTCAGAAAGGATGGACTTCAACTTCAGCATTCTGAAACATGCACACTCTGAGTGTGAGATTCAAGTGATCCATGTCCAGATTGGGACACAAGTCACCGAAGATGCTGGACTCTGCCTGGGAAGGAGGAACTTCCTCTATGGCCCACTTTCCAGAAGAGAGAGTATGTCTTACTTAGTTGGCACCTTTGCAAGTGCGAAGAAAACAGCTGCTTTGAAGACTTTGAAACTTCCAGGTGAAGGCTGTGGAAGAAGGGCCATTGTCTACGGGAAGAATGAGCACAGCATCCGAAATAAACAGTTTTTGTTTTATCCAGCTGTATTTACTCAGTGCAACTTATAACATCCAAGTGAAAGATATAACACCAACATGTCAGAAAAAAATAAATACAAAAATAAAAAAACAGAATCACTAATTTGGAAAAGGGATCACCCCCTTGTGTCAGTATTTTGTTGAACCACCTTTTGCATTAATTACAGCCTTTAGTCTGTTGGGATATGTCTCTACTAACTTTGCACATCTAGACTTTGCCCCCTGCTAAAAATGACTTAAATTTTTAAACTCAATCAGGTGTAGCTAATCACCTTCTCAATGGCACACAAAGCCATTTGACTTTCAGCTGTGGTCATTTTCTTTAGCTCAGCATGAAAAGAGCTTTCCTGGAGCATTTCAGTCCTTGGTAGTGCAACTGAAGCAAACAATCAACTATGGGTGGCAAGGCACTCTCAAAAGATCTTCTGGATAAAGTTGTGGAAAGGTACAAGTCAGGAGATGGATACAAAAAAAATTAAAAGGCTTTCTCAATGCCTAGAAGCACAGTCAAATCTATCATTAAGAAGTGGAAGGTATTTGGCACAACACAGACCCTCCCTGGATCAGGACGTCGCTCCAAACTGGATGAAAGAGCCAGAAGGAAACTGGTCAGAGAGGCTACCAAAAGGCCAACAGAAACTCTGAAGCAGTTGCAGGAATTTATGACAAATTTATGGTCATTGTGTGCATGTGATAACAATATCACAAATTATCCACAAATGTGGCTTGTATGGGAGGGTTGCAAGAAAAAAGCCACTCCTCAAGAAAGCCCAAGCTTTGCCAAAACTGAGCTTTGCC